TAACTTAGGTGCCCGTCAAGGAACAAATGGATAAAGAAGATGTGGTATATATACACAATGGTATACTACTCAGCCATAAGAAATGATGAAATCTGGCCATTTGCGACAACATGGATAGACCTTGAGGGTAGTATGCTAAGTGAAATCAGTCAGAGGGAGAAACTCAAATACCGTATGATCTCATTCATAAGTAGAAGATAATAACAATGACAAACAAACACATAGCAACAGAGACTGGACTGGTGGTTACCATAGGGGAAGCGGGGAGAGTGGAGGGCAAAAGGGGTGATTAGGCTCACATGTGTGGTGATGGACTATAAATAGTTTTGGGTGGTGAACATGATGTAACCTACACAGAATTCAAAATATATTACGATGTACATCTGAAAGCTATATAACATTATAATCCAATGTTACTGCAATAAAAATAGGACCGGCCCTGTGGCCGAGTGGTTAAGCTCATGTGCTCTGCTTCAGCGGCCCAGGGTTTCGCCGGTTCGAATCCTGGGCGAGAACATGGCACTGCTCATTAGGCCATGCTGAGGCAGCATCCCATATGCTACAACTAGAAGGACACACAAGTAAAATATACAATTATGTACTGGGGCGATTTGGGGAGAAAAAGCTAAAAAAAGAAAAAAACGATTGGCAACAGTTGTTAGCTCAGGTGCCAATCTTAAAAAAAAAAGGCACATATTTCTTTGATTAAAATATTTAAAATGATAGAAAAAACCTGCATTTACATTAGTTTGACTATGCAAATTATTCATTTATAAGGCCAAGTAGCGTGCTAAAACTATGCATCTTTACTTAGAAGTAAGAGTTTCTAACCATTTTTTAAATTCAACTTCTTAGTCATACCTTCTATTGCATGGGGTACCATTTTACCTCCAGATACAACACTTAGAAGCCATTCAACATATTGATCTTATCTAAATTATTATTTTTATTACCTTCATTTTTCTTTTCTTTCTGGTTTTGTTTTTTGCTTTTTTTCATCTTTGGTTTTCCTTAAATGTCAGCTGATCCTTGGTTGTACATTAATTCTTAAGAATGAAGGTCTGTGTCAATTTTTCTAGGGAGCTAGTATGAGTATCCTGTGCTTTGTGTAAGTCTCCTCTTTTCCCATTGTCTTCATGAGTAGGAACATTGCCTGGGAGCTTTGTGATGTGGCTAGAATAAGTTAATCAATAGGCTTTATTAGAGGGAGCATGGTCAGATAGCCAGCAATTAAGCAAAGTGTCTCTCAAATACTAAAATTAAGAGTTTTCTCTTATTTACCGTGGAGTGCCAAATCCACACTAGAACTAACATTACCAGATAGTTCATTTGATTGTTTTAAAAGAGGGGATAAGACTTCAGGGTTTTTATGGGTAATAGTAAATATCCATCTACCAGCAGATATTTGACTAACGATAAATATCCATCTACCTGCAGCTTTGGGGCTTGAAGTGACAGCAGCAACAATTGGCACGGCTATTCCACGTACAGACCTTCAATTAATGCCCTTGTCTACAGTCATTCTCCTTCCAGCCCTTTTAAATTGCTAACTCCTAATTGATATCATTTCTAAGGTTCAAAAGACACACCAGCTCTCCCACTGGAGCCCCTTTGAAGCGTATCTAGGTAAGTCTCCTACATCCTGTTTTGTCCGACAGGATGCTACCATCTATTTTTGGTTTTCTAGAAATGAGATAATCTGCTCATAAACTCCATTCTCTCTGTTATGAGTTACTTTCTGTATATTGTCATCTCAACGGGGTCTGGGGGGATATAAAGCAAAAATGTGCTCAGTCTACCATCTTGTTAAAATACACACACACAAACATTTGTTTATGTATATATATGGCTTCCCTACTGAAGCTCTGTAAGGGCAAGGATGTATTGGAAAAAGCCTAGCACAGTGCTAGGAATATAACAGGTATTCAAAAGTATGTGGCTGATCAGATTCGGATGTGGAATAAAAGAAGTTACAAATGACAGAAAAGCTTAGCCTAGATGACAAGTATGCAAATAGAAACCATCAAATAAATAGTAGATTTTAAAAGAAAACTATTATTTTTGTGTTGGAAATCAAGAGTTATGCCCTAGCTTAGGTTTTATGGCTTTCATAGAGGCAAAGGGGGCAAATAATGGAAGCTATTTT